TGCACTACAAGAAAGAAGCCCAATACTTGATTTGTTATTTAGAAACTCTCTGGACCTAGTAGTGGAATTTTCTTAATTCAAAATATATGATGACAAAAGGACACCCTAAGCTTTTTTTTAGCACGTTTTATACCAAAAACATATTGCGATATATATCGTTATCGCCACCCTTCATAATGCATATCGTGATATGAATTTTATGACATATCGCACATTCCTAGCACCTTTCTATCTTATTAATATACTTAAAGCTCTATACAACACAATATGTGCCCTCATTTGCCCATTCATACATCATTCTACTGGATCTCTACAAAGCTAATTGAACAAATCATTTTAAAGAGACTAATCAGTTCTTTTAGATCACATTCATACACCGATGGGACACACATCTGAGGCAATGAGGGGTTCAGTGTCTTGCCCAGGGACACTTCGGCATGTGACTGCTGGTGAAATTGAATCTCCAACTCTTGCATTGGAGGATGACTGCTCTAACCACTCAGCCACATCCGCTCATAATAACAGAGCAAGAGGTTCAACGGCTAATGCAAAAAGTAATGGCAAGTGTCGACAGCCCTGTCTAGTTGACCAGCTAAGAGGGAAATAACTTGAATACATGTACACTGTATACATTATTAGTTTGCACCAAAGCCTGAGGATGGGCATATAATAATTTTACCATAGATTTAAGCCAAATCCAAACACTGACATAGTTGAAAACCGAAAATCCCATTCAACCCTGTCAAAGGCTTTTTCTGCATCTAAGGAGAGTAAAATCTCAGGATACAAATTATCTTTATCCCAAGAATGGATTATATCAAGTAAAAAGTATCTTTTAGCTTCTCCCTTCTTTAGGAGTCACAGCAGCTAGCGAACTCGTATGAAAGATTTGGCAATTGTTTTATGCCAGATGTCCTTCCTGATGCAACCTGGGCTCAAACCCGCAATCTCAGGATTACAAGACTGCGGCACTGACCACCAAGCTACCGCAGCGTGTGCTTAAATTGGTTTGCATAATTTTCCGATATTAAAAAACAAGTGTATTTTTGGTAAACCCAGTTTGGTAATGAGAAATAATCCTTGGTAAGTTTGTTTCCAGACGTGTAGCTAAGATTTTTGCTAGTAATTTATTGTCTTAAATAAGCTCACAAGCCTATAAGATGCTGTGTCTGGGGTGGGGTGTCTTTATCCTTATTGTGAATAAGGGAAATGCTTGCCTGATAAAATGTTGGTGGTAAGGAGACCCTATGTAACACCTTGTTGAATACTTCTAACAGCAATGGTGCTATTTGTTCTTTAAAGATTTTGTAAAATTCTGAAGAATAGCCATCTGGGCCAGGGCTCTTGTTCAATTTCATGTTTTGTTATGGGTTTTCTAATTGTTCTAGACTTTCTAGACTGATTGTTGGAGTTGTCATTTTATTGAAGAACTTGTCCATAAGTGCGGGGTTCATTGTGGATTTAGCAGCAGTACTGTATATATTTTCATATATATTTTAAATATATTGTTTATCTCTTTTAGGTCTCTTGTAAACTGACCAGAATCTGTGTGAATTTCTGTAATCAACCTTGATGCTGCTTTTTTTGTTTGTTTTTGGTGTCAAAATCTTGCCCATTCTTTCCTCCTACTCATAAAATTTGTTCTTTGATTTGGTTAAGATCTTGACGGTTCTTGTGGTGTACAATAACTCCAGTTCAGTCTGCAGAGCAAGGTTTTGTGTGTGTGTGTGTGTGTGTAGAATTGCAGATGGGGTAGACTCATGTTCTGTATCTATTTCTGTTACTTCCCTTTTTAATCGAGTTTCCTTTTCTCTTTGGTGTTTATTTTTCAGGCTTTTATGAAATTACTTGTCCTCTAACATACACTTTTAACACCTCCCAGACCGTGGATCTTGTAATGTCTGGAATGTCACGATTGATAAATATATGTTTGTGATTTTAAATTTCTACCATTTCATCTTTATTTGATAATATGCTATTATCGACTCTCCACTTCTTTGATGTTTGGTTTTGTTCAAGAGCTAAATGTAGAGTTAAGAGGGCTATGATATGATAGCATCACGGTTTCATAGTTGCATTGTTTCACTAACTGTAGGAGTTTACTGTCTATTAAGAAATAATCAACCTTTGTATATGTTTGGTGAACTGGGGAATAACAAGAGTACTGCCACATATAGGGATCTCCATGGATCAATTATTTCATATCTGTCCATAAATTTCTCAACACATTTTGCAATTTTAGATGTTGCTGTTGGTGTACGTGATGATCCATCTAAAACTGAATCCAGCACTAAGTTAAAATCTCCCCCATTTATCAGTTGATGAGAGTCCATGTCGGGTAATTTTGATAACAAAGAATTTATAAATTGCTCATCATCAACATTGGGAGAGTATACATTTCCTAATATGATCAGATTGTCATAAAGTTTACCAGTGATGGTAATGTATCTGCTTTGAGAGTCTGGTATTATACAAACCGGATTCCAAAAAAGTTGGGACACTAAACAAATTGTGAATAAAAACTGAATGCAATGATGTGGAGGTGCCAACATCTAATATTTTATTCAGAATAGAACTCAAATCACAGATCAAAAGTTTAAACTGAGAGAATGTATCATTTTAAGGGAAAAATCTGTTGTTTCCAAATTTCATGGCGTCATCAAATCCCCAAAAAGTTGGGACAAGTCCATTTTTACCACTGTGTGGCATCCCCCCTTCTTCTTACAACACTCAACAGACGTCTGGGGACAGAGGAGACCAGTTTCTCAAGTTTAGAAATAGGAATGCTCTCCCATTCATGTCTAATACAGGCCTCTTAACTGTTCAATCGTCTTGGGCCTTCTTTGTCGCACCTTCCTCTTTATGATGCGCCAAATGTTCTCTATAGGTGAAAGATCTGGACTGCAGGCTGGCCATTTCAGTACCCAGATCCTTCTCCTACGTAGCCATGATGTTGTGATTGCTGCAGAATGTAGTCTGGCATTATCGTGTTGAAAAATGCAGGGTCTTCCCTGAAAGAGATGACGTCTAGATGGGAGCATATGTTGTTCTAGAACCTGAACATAGTTCTCTGCATTAATGGTGCCTTTCCAGACATGCAAGCTGCCCATGCCACAAGTGCTCATGCAACCCATACCATCAGTGATGCAGGCTTCTGAACGGAGCGTTGATAACAACTTGGGCTATCCTTGTCCTCTCTGGTCCGGATGACATGACGTCCCAGTGTTCCATAAAGAACTTCAAATCGTGACTCATCTGACCACAGAACAGTCTTCCATTTTGCCACACTCCATTTTAAATGACCCCTGGCCCAGTGCAAACGTCTGAGCTTGTGGAGCTTGCTTAGAAATGGCTTCCTCTTTGCACTGTAGAGTTTCAGCTGGCAACAGCGGATGGCACGGTGGATTGTGTTCACTGACAATGCTTTCTGGAAGTATTCCTGAGCCCATTCTGTTATTTCCTTGACAGTGGCATTCCTGTTTGAGGTGCAGTGACGTTTAAGGGCCCGGAGATCACGAGCATCCAGTAGAGTTTTACGGCATTGACCCTTACGCACAGCGATTGTTCCAGATTCTCTGAATCTTTTGATGATGTTATGCACGGTTGATGATGATAACTTAAAAGTCTTTGCTATTTTACGCTGGGTAACACCATTCTGGTATTGCTGCACTATCTTTCTGCGCAACAATGGTGGAATTGGTGATCCTCTTACCATCTTGGCTTCTGAGAGACACTGACACTCTGAGAAGCTCTTTTTATACCCAATCATGTTGTCAATTGACATAATTAGTGTTAATTGGTCTTCCAGCTGTTCGTTATATGCTCAATTTCCTTTTTCCAGCCACTTATTGCTACTTGTCCCAACTTTTTTGGGATTTGTTGACACTGAAATTTTGAATCAACATATTTTTCCTTTAAAATGTTACATTTATTCAGATTAAACTTTTGATCTGTCATCTATGTTATATTACAAATAAAATATTACATTTGCCATCTCCACATCATTGCATTCCGTTTTTATTCACAATTTGTTTAGTGTCCCAACTTTTTTGGAATCTGGTTTGTACTTTTGAAGCAATAAACTGTAGTGTATTTTAAATTATTACTCAGTGCCTGTACTCTTTTTTTCCCCAAAGTTAGAGTGAAATACCAGTCCTATCCAGTTATTGCGTAGTTTATTATGGTCCTGATTTTTCAAATGTGTTTCTTGTAGAAAACATACGTCTGTATTTAGTTTTTTCAAATGCTCTATAATATTACCTCATTTTGTAGGTCTGTTTAGTCCTTTACAATTCCAAGTCACAAATTTGACTAAATTGCGTGAAACAGATTTTTCCAGCCTGGTGTTATCAGTGGTCATATTAAACTATTGCCTGGCAGTCGATTCGACTTTTTATAACACAATCTGAACACAAGAACAATCCCTAGGGGCTAAACCTTAACTCCATTCCTGTTTTCCCTTCACTTAATTAAAGGTAAAGTCCTCAGATACTTGACTAATAACTAAGCTCCTAATGTGTGTATATTATTTATTCATGGGTCAAATAACTTACAAATGTGGTCCAGTCTCAATAACTTGGTTTACATGGACACCTGACAAGAACACCTGACAAGTGAGCAGCTGAAAGAAGAAGTAGACATTGTAGGAATGTAGCTCCTGTGAGTGCAGCTTTTATAAGACAGATTATTATCATGGCACGGTGATGTACTTTTTCGAGATGTACCAGAGGTGTAACATTCAGTACATGATCAACTTGTTCTGTGGCAATTCTCTCATCAGGAATTCAGTCCACAGAAAACTTGACATTTCACAACTCGTCTGCTTTTTGTTTTTACTCTTCATTAGCACTGTGTGCTCACATGATTGCAACACTTTCTTTTTGACATGTATTTACATTTAATTTAGATTTTTTTTATTGATTTTCTGCATGCCAGCTGGGGACCCTGGGCTGCAAGATGAAGATCAGAGGATGATGTCTGGTTTTCTTTTTGTTTTGCAGATCTACCAATGAGGCCATCGTGAATCCAGACTTCCACCTGGTTGCTCCAGATGTGTAAGAGCAGTATTCATCATCATTAGCATAGTTGTGTCTGCATCTGGGGAAGGAACAGGAGACACTGAAGTTCTTCTTTTTAACAGATCGTCCTGACTCTCTGTTAGAGTGTTTTTGGTCATGGCTGAGAACCTTAACTCTGCCCATGAATCATATGTTTGGGTTAGCAGAGAGAAATGGATGGGGAGCTGAGTGAGGCTGCAGCTGCAGCCAAGGACACCTTCAAGTTCTGTGAACTCGGCTGAACTGATAAGAGTATAGAAACAAGCTGAGAAGGCAGCTCGGGGCAGATTCTCTTGGCTGGTCCTCATGTGTGTACTTTATGTATATTTATGTAACCTGTCCTGAAAATCTGACCTTCCAAGTAAATACCCGTTAAAAATCTTCTCGTGCTGTCAAGTGTTGTTCTTTTTGAGGAAGTTAAGTGAGAGTATTTCTTCCAACAGTCTGACCAGGGTTAGCTGGCTCAGAGAATCAGAGCTCTGATTGATTCATATTTTTCTCTTTGTGTTTCAGGATGAAGTACCCGCAGCCAAGCATTGTCAAGGGGTGGGTATCACCTTTAGGTTATAGTTATGGTTCAGTCTGTGATGACTGATGGTCCATTTCTGACTGCAGTCGGACCGATGTGGTTGCGGTGACGCCCTGGTTGGCTCCTATTGTCTGGGAGGGAACTTTCAGTGCCACTCTTCTTGATGGCATCTACATAAAGAAGAACATCAGTGTTGCTGCCACAGTGTTCGCAGTTGGGAAGTAAGTGTGACATCACATCACTGTGTTTCCTGTTAGCCTTGACCTCAGACTGACCTTTCCTTCCCATTCAGGTACATCATGTTCCTGAAGGACTTCCTGGAGACAGCAGAGCAGCATTTCTTTGTTGGTTTCAGAGTGCACATTTATGTGTTCACTGACCGCCAAAAAGAGGTACCAGTGGTACAAATGGCTGAAGGCAGGGAGGTAAGTTAGGCCTTTGCACAACGAGCATCAGCACTTCTGGACCGCTGACTCTTTGGCCTCTTCTTCTTCCTCTAGGTGACGGTGCAACCTGTGCCAAGCTCGAACCGCTGGCAGGAGATCTCTGCTCGTAGGATGGAGCTCATCCAGACGTTGATTGAGAAACAGATCATCAATAAAGTCAACTATATTTTTTGTCTGGATGTGGACTCAAAGTTTCATGGTCGCTGGGGGACCGAGTCGCTGGGAGGACTGGTCTCTGTGATACATCCTGGTATGTAGACTAATCTTCCAGTTCTTTTTCTAAGTCTCTGGACTGGGATCAGGTCAACTCATCATTCGGATAATGAGCCCAGGTTCCTCTAAAACCAAACCAGGATTAACTGACCCTAACACCAGTAAATTGAACACTGACCCAGGTTCACCTGAACCTAAAACAGGTTCAGTTACAGTTTATCTCAAATAATTTAAATTATCCTGAAAAAGTCTCCTGATGGATGCTCAATAATCCAGGTAGCAAAATCTAACCAGGCTGAGTACGACTGGGCCATATCATATCGTTCATGATAATACCGGTAAAAAAGCTTGCCCGGGAAAACAACTGATATCATGATGTGCTAATTTCATGACGTAAGTATGTCAGTGTTTCTCCTACTATTATACAAGCGGGGCGCCCCGCCCCATTAACAGAGCCTTGCGCGCCGAACTACCGAACTGAACTGTGCACCCCCATCCACCTGTCGATACTGGCGCAATGCTAATTAGCTGCACTCAGTACTAGCTAGTTAAAAAGCTAAAAGCAAACGATGCGCGGCTCAGCTGTGTCTCTCCACCCAGCTCTAAACTGCCGATACAAATGCAGCTTGGCTTTTTTGTCTCCCCCACGCGGCTTTGGACTGCCGATGTGGGCGCAGCTCAA